CCTTCCACAGTGAAGGGCAGTGAAGGGCCTTCTGTTTAATGTGTTAGACGGAGCTCCCCAGCAATTGCATCAGCGCTCTAACACAAGTTAGCCCAACCAGCAGCTGACAGCAACCCGTGCTTGTGACCTACAGTCTCTGGTGGGCAGGAAGCCAGGTGTCTGCGCGCAAGGTCCGGGGGACCGAGTTGGGGAGGCTCTGCTTTCAGGGTCCCGCATGGGTTGTTGACAGGCCGTGGCATCCCTCGGGCCTCTCTCTCACATGGGCCGTTGGAGAGGGCTCGGGACATTTCATTACCACCTGCAGACACTTTGACACCGAGAACAAAGTCAGCAAACAGCGAGGGTAAAATTGCATTAAAACATGAAACCAGCAAGTTCGATGCCACCATGCCCAGGTGCCGCGGTTGCTGTGTGCAGCCTGGCAGCGCCCGTGTCGTGGGAATCTGGGTGGGATCGGACGGGACAAGTGGCTCTGCGGTTACCTCCCTCAGTTCTCCTTCCTCCCAGCTCTCACTGCTCGCAAGGCTCATTGTCACCGCCAGGGACGTGTGTCTTTCTGCACACAATTGTAGCGGGCAAAAGGCTTCCTCGCCTGGGCCCTGTCTCTAGGAGTATTGCATTCGAAGGCACTTTGGGAGGAGAAGACATCCAAAATCCGTTCATATGAAGTTTGCTGTTCATGAAAGAGTTAGTATCAGATGCTCCCGGTCTGCCCCTGTGGGTGACACAGATCAGTCAGCTAACAGAAAGGTGGGTGTTGGGACCATGATACTCCCCCCCCACTCCCCACTCCCAACCTCTGAAGAAAGACCCGGAGAGCTATTTCCATGGAAACCCCTCTGTGAGTCGCCATGGGTCCTCCCTGTGGATTCTCATCAGACTTTCAGGATCAAGAGACTCTTGGCCAGGAGACAAAAGCAGCACGACCCCATGCCCCAGGGGATGCGAAGGAACACTGGGAATAAAATCCAGGGTGGCCTTAGAGAAGAAGGCGGGTTTATAAAGATTCACGCGTGTGATAGCACACACGTTCACCTGAGTTCACTAGCGTGCTACCAGAGCTAAAGTCCACACCCGGGGTTTTTTTTTCCAAGACCATCAACCTTTACAGGCGTGGGCAGCCTCGTCTGTCACCTGCGGAGCAGCGCCTGCGCTTGAGCCACTGACCTTGCAGTAGGCAGCTGTCCTCTTAACCCACAGGGCCGCTGGGGCACCTCAGGGTCCACCTGCTCAAGGTTCACCTCAAGCTGATCTATTGAACCCGTGCTGGGAATTGGCCGATTTCTTCCTTTGCGTTGATGCTTCTGTGTTTAAGAGACGGACTAATAAATAGGTGAGCTCAGGGCTTTGGGAAAGAGAAGCGGAAACTGTGTGGAGTCGTTCTTCTCCGGAACACGTGGATTGCAATGAGTCAGCGTGGACTCCGTGACAATTAGGGAACATTCCCAGGAGTGTTTGTATGAATCAGCGGGAATGCATACAAGGGCCACAGCACAGATCCTGCCAGTGGGAAGGGGTGGGGTGGTGGGGGCGTGTAGAAAGGGCCTGTCCAACTCGGACCCCTGGGGGCCTGTTGTCCATCTCAGACTTGCAGAGGAGCCTGCCCCCCCACCCATTATCTCATGAACTGAAGAGGATAGCACCCTGTCTTCCAGGGACAGCCTCTGGCTTGTTTGAAGGCTTCTCAGCTCCTAAACTTGCTCTGCCCTCTCCTAACTGGTGCTGCAGCACCGCGGCCTGAGTCTGCCTCACCGGAGCCTGGTTTCTATGGTTCCTCCAGTTGTAAAGCGCCCACCACTGCAGCACCTGTGCAGGTGCAGGTGTACAATGTCCAGTGTCCCCCGGACCCTTGCTTTACACATTGAATCGAGTCTGCCACTGTGGGTGCCGCTCCAGCAATATTTCGTGAGCCCC